CCACACACACACACACAGACAAGTCATCCAGGCAACCAGCTGGAAAAACATCCAGTCCCCTGCAGAATTTCCTCTTCCAGCTACTGGGGTGGAAAAGACGCAGATGACTGCAGAGGCAGCCGGAGGAGCCCCCTCCCCTAAAAGCAGATTCTGGCCACAACGATCCCCAGCCGAGGGAACGCACAATAAGCGGCGCTTGTGCCGGAAAAAGGCTGCTGTAAAACTGGGAACGGAGCCGCTGAGCTGCTTTCCAGGCCTTGCAGTTCATTGTTATGTTCTCAACGGCTGCTTCTTATTTATTTATTTTTGCTCTGGGTGCGAGGAAGGAAACGTGTTTGCAAAGGGGGAAACAATGCCACTTTCCTTCCAGGTGGGGAAGCAGGGCCGATGGAAGGAGGGGGCGCTGGGGGTCTGGTCGAGCTGTGCCACCCCTCCAGCCAAACCGGGGCAGAGCGCTTCCAGTTGCACCCGTCCCTGGGGAAAATCTCTTGAACAATGGAAGCAGCAAGACCAAAGACCCAGAGGTCAAGAAAAGTGGACAGCAGGTTTGACCGGAAGGGCCTCTGGTTGACGGCCAGCCTGTCAAAGCCCCAGATGGAAAATTTCCCACCCTGCCTGGGGCTATTTGGACGCCCAACAGCCCTGCAGAGTTGGACAGCATCTCCTCTTGGAGAAGATCCCCTGGAAGGGCAAGGGATTAAAACCAGGAGGAAGGGGGGGGGAGGGGGAAAAACCCCTCCTTCTGGAAAGGAAGCACCACATTGGCTCCATTCTCACGGCGTCCTTGTCTCCTTCCTCCCGAAAGGCTCTTTCCCCAAATTGTCTGAAGAGCTCGGCTGCAGAGGTCCCCGCAGGAGCCAGGATGGGATGGATCAGTTCCTGCAGGGCACAAAGGACCCCAAAGCCCTGGGACGCTTCCTGGGAACATCGGGCATCACTCCAAGGGGCTGGTGGGCCGAGAGAAGGTTGACCTTTCACCCTGACCCTGAATAGATGCCGCAGGGAGACCCCAGCAAGTGAACACCACAGAGGCCGAGCAGAAGGAGGTGTGTTTACAAACCCCTCACATCCTGGACATAAACTGTTTCAACTCCTTCCCTCAAAACGACGCTATACAGAGCCCTGCCCACCAGAACAACCAGACACAAGGGGAGTTTTTCCCCCAAATGCCATCCCTCTGCTAAACAAATAATTCCCTCAACACTGTCCGACTATTTACAAAGTCTTCTTCTTCTCATCCTTCCTATTACCTATCTCTTTTTCTACTTATGGCCTATAACTTTGTTGCTTGTATCTTTATGATTTATATGGACTCTTTCCTAGTATGATTTGATTGCTTATTGTACCCTGTGACTATCATTAAGTGTTGTACCTCATGATTCTTGACGAATGTGTCTTTTCTTTTATGTACACTGAGAGCATTTGCACCAAGACAAATTACTTGGCCAATAAAGAATTCTAATTCTAATTCTGGTAGACTGCTCCTGAGGTGGAGGCTTCATTCCTTGGCTACTCATCTGGAAGGAAGGAAGGAAGGAAGGAAGGAAGGAAGGAAGGAAGGAAGGAAGGAAGGAAGGAAGGAAGGAGAAGGAAGAAATTAAGAAAAGTTCTGGAAAGTAATAATTGGTCTCAGCTGGAGCCTAATAGCTGGGCATCCCCTCCCCAGCCTGCCGCTCCATAGCTTGAAAGCCTCGCCTTTCCAATTTTGAAACTTTCCACAATTTATTCTGCCTCTTCCCCGCGAGCTGGCGCAGAACGTCACTCTCTGTTTTTATTAAAGTCCCCAAAAGCAATAATTTCTCATAAGATTTTTTGCCTGATCATTTCATGTCCTTGGCCTGTTTCTTCCCCTCCCTTCAGCGCCCCCAATCTCAATTTCTAATTTTCAGAACATGGTTCTCCCGGCGGGCGCTGGGAGGGAAAAATAATGTGAAGGGAAAGGGATTTATTAAAATGCAAATTGGTGGGGTGCTTAAAAAGTTTGGCTTTTTGGCTCTCTCCCTCTTCCCACCCAGAGGAAAAACATCCACACGTTTCGGGACGGAAGCATAGCTGTGCCAGGGTGGCAGGTTAAGAATAGCAACTGGAGATGCCAAAACAGGTGGAGGGGTAGAAGATGTGCCCACCTGGAGAACTTCATAATACGCCCCTGCCAACCACCTGGCAAAACTGAACCATGGGAGGCAGGCAGGATGTGCCCCCTCTGGAAGGATGCCTTGAAGCATGGGCACCGCAGCGGCACACGTTGGCAAGGAACAGGGAATTGGAGGAGGGGGAGTTACGAACCAAACCCCATCGTTCAGGGGCTGATCCATCCTGAGCCCCGTGTTCACCTGGGCAAGCAGGAGACTCTTGTGGCGATGCAATCAAGAGGACTAGAAACTTGAGTCTGCCAAAACAGAATCAGGAAGGGAATAAACAAGGAAGGCAGGGCTGGTGGGTGGGTGGGTGGAGGCGCATTGTTCTTAATTGGTGGGGCTTTTCATCCCTTTCATCAAATTCACCTTTTTAGCTAAGGATTCTTGGTGGAAGAAAAAAACAGATTTTCCCCCCCTCAAAGTGTGGCGAACGCTCCCCTCTGGCGGTCAGCGTTGGGATGGCCCCGTTGTCCCTTTGGCTCCACAATCTAGTTATGGATCCAGGTTGGTTCTGCAAATTTGGAGCTGTTTTTGAACACTCACAACAACCTTGCAAGGCGGGGTGGGGTGGGGAGTTAAGGAACAAGCCCCTCCTGGCCACCCCAGGCTGGCAAGCAGGTCCGATTCCAAGGCTCAGGAAGGCTGAAGCATTAAAAGTGGGCCTGGGGGCTTCTCTGCCCTTGAGGGGGGGGGGGCACCCCAGCTAGCAGCCCCCCCCCCCATCCTCCATCTTCAAAAGGAGCAGCTGGGGAGGTCTCCTTGTAGAGGCTCACACCCCTTTTCTCACTCCTTGCCACCTCCTTTGAAACAAAGAAATGGGTGTCTCTAGTCCTCAAGATTCTGCTGCCACACCCAGGGCCTCTTCTTAGAAAAACAGAACGTTCAGGTTTCAGCCTTGGCCTTTAAGATTCTGCTTTTCAATTCCTCTGAATTATTTGGGCAGCCTCGTTCAAAGGGAGGGGATGCATTTTATTTCCCCTGCAAGATTCTCAGGGGAAATTGCCCCCCCCCCCCAAAGCATTTGGGTGCATTTCTCACTTTGAGGGGGTTCGGCAAAATAAGGAACAGCCTCCTGTTCAAGTAGGAAGTGGAGGTTGCTTAATCAGAGGGTGTGTGTGTGTGTGTGTGTGTGTGTGTGTGTGAATGTTCATCTAACAGAAGCAAGGCAAGTTTCTAGACCTTAGGAAGCTGCTCAGATCCTCTCTCTCTCGTTTTTTGTATCGTTCTACAGTTGAAGGGTTCTGCCTTTGGGGCAGCCCTTAAATTGCCCCCCAACAGGAAGCAGGAAACCAACCCAACCGTGGGCACCTGGGTGTCGATATTGAACATTTGCTTTTAACAGTTGCTGGTTTTCAAAAAAAAAAAAGCAGATTTTTCTCCCCGGGGGTGTGTGTGTGTGTGTGTTTCTGTGTTCCAACAGTCGGACTGAAAAACAGGCCTGAATCGTAATCATGATGGCGCAGGCTGCCTCTTGCAAAATCCCCCCCCCT